AATGTCCATCACAGATGAGACAAAAAAATGCAATCTCTGCAAGTCCCTAAGTCTGGTATGAAAATATTTCATTTGAATGGGTCATGTACTAAAGGAAGATTAATATAAGAACAGCCTGAGTTTTCTTTGAGTCTTATAAACATATCAAAATATCTTGAGTACTACAGTTTTCTGCTCTGAACAAATTTAGATCTAGTACCAGATAAAAATGAGCCAGAAGGATAAAACACTAGTAAAAACTTAACCAAATCATTACTTTTAAGCAAACAGAAATATGCTCATGCTTTTCCTTCTGTACAGAACATATGTTAAGGCCTACCAAGTCAATTAATAATTCAGGCATAAAAGAAGTTCTTGAAGATAAGCACATTCAGAGGTTACCTCCCACAATGTACACTTAAATGTGAGCTCAAAAGAAAACCTCCAAGCACCAGCAGGACACCTTTGTCAGCTTATCCGGACTGTCAATGTAAAGCCGGCAAGGCACTGTGCTTTTCTCTCTCGAAGCCAGTCCTACTTTCAGCATCCATACTTTCTGACAATGGAACCATCTCCCCAGCCATTCAGTACTTAACCTCAAAGCTTTGGAATTATAATCATCCCCAAATTTAGTTAATCACCAAGTCCTGTGAATTATTCCTTTGTAAGAAAGAAAAAGGTGGGGGAGAAATTTATCAATTAAAGAGATTTAAGAGACATATCACAAATATATGAACCTTATTGGGTCTTATGTCAAACAAATTGACTATAAAAAGATTATGAGACAATAAAAAAAATAGGAAATATGAACACTGACTAGATATCAGGTGATATTTAGAAACACTGTAGGTACATGACGAGATCGTGTTTACGTTTTCAAAATGCCCTTATATTTTAGAAATACATACTACAATATTGACAGATTAAGTGATATTTTTGATCTGCTCCAAAATAATTCAAGAGAGAGTGGAGGTGGAAACAGAGTGAAGGGATAGATGAAATAAATGCATGAAAATTGCTAAAGCTGGATAACGGGTACAAGGGGTTCAATTACACTTTTTTCTTTAATTTGGCATGTTTTTAAACCCCCATTAAGTCCTATGCCTATGAATGGATAGATGTATGTTTTCTGATTTACACTGCTCTGCCCTGCAACTGTTGATGACTCCCAGGTGCCTACGTACCTTAGCCCGGCCACAGGGTCCTGCACAGTCCTTTGGTTACCCTTTTTGCTAAAAACACATCATCAGTACTTTCCCTTCTAATCCTTTCTTTTACTGCTTCTTCTCCTTGAAATGTGCTCCTTCATCCTACCTACTCTTTTCTTGAGCTACTCCTTCCTTTCCTCTTCCACAACTTGTAAAGTAAAAAAAAAAAAATCCATGTCCTCGTAGGCCACTGACCAGACAGACCACTGTATGCCCTGGTTTTACGTAAAATGCCCCTAATCTTTATCTGGATCTCAAGTTCTAAGCAGAAGATCCATGCATCTTCAGAGCTGAAAGCCTCACTCTAAGGAAAGCAGAGGTGTTTGGTTATTGCCAGCACAGTGGGTGGAAGGCAGTGGTCTGCTCCTCTCCACTGGTCTTTACTCTGCAGTTTTTACAGTGGGCTACTCATACTTAGGAAACATCAAAGGGTTTCATTAACAAGAGTCATAAAACTTTTTTTTAAAGGGAAATCTGAAATATACTTAAATCTCACAATAATTCAATGGATTACAAGAGCAGGAGAGGCTGTGGTTCTCATCACAGAAAGCTTAATTTCTGAGGCAGCAAAGAGATTTCCTTATTAACCCACTCGTCCTTCCTACAAAGCTTCAAATCCAGTGCCCTGAGATAAAAATTTTATTAAAGATTCATTTTTCTATAATAAAAACAGACATATATGTGAAAATCAACTTTACCTTATATTTCATCTTGGGACATGAATGAATGTAGAAACCCATATAATAATAGCTGAGCTGAGAAGTTTTCTCATGGAGTTGCCGAGTAAAAGCAATTTCTCTGCCAAAAGAAAAAGAAGAAAGCTGAAGCAGTTAATTCTGCTTCTAATGTTCCAAAAACTATGTGATTTGATGGTAAACATTCGATAAAATCTGATATTAAGCTATCAAAAAATTACAAATATTGAAAGAAAAACGACTTTTAAAACACTATATACATACAGGACAAAAATGAGTATTGGAAAAGAAAAAAAAACACTATACAATGATTTTTACTAAAGAAATAATAAACCCCTCTAAATAATATTAAGCAAATGCATCTAAGTTCAGGCTTTACACTTTATTAGGCAAAGTAGCTGATCTAAAATTCAAATAGCATAAAATGAGAGATCTACAGTGTCCTGTTACTGTTCATCAAGCCCTATGGTTCTCAAAGAATCCGAGCTTAACAGGTTAAAAACAGTACAGCAAATTTTGGAAAACTCAAAGCCAACACATTTCAGGAATAATATTGTGACCATTTACATGCAAACACTTTCAGCTGTATATGACACATAACTCATTCCTTTATCTAGGTACAGCTTTAATATTTATTTCCTCTAAAACTAGAGAGCGGGAAATACTATGTTACTTCACCACATTTTCTGTATTTGTTGGAATAAGCCAGATAACTTGAACATAAAAAGTTCTTCAGTATCACCACTGTATCGCCTGTGCATGAAGTGGTTTTAAATCTTGGCAAAGAATTTCATTCTACTTGCCCAGCTAAATGACTGACTTGAGAGTGCTAAGTAAAACTTCAGTACATTTCTAAAGTATGAGAAAATAGTTTTGTTTTTATATTTGTTTCTCAAAGGTATTCTTTTCTTTTTAGTAGCAAGTAATGCTTAAAATTCTAAAGAACTGTATTTGTAATGCAATATTCTGTGCATTTTTCTAGCTCAAGTTTTAATCCTTGAAGAATTATTACCATAAAAATTCATTTTTAAATTAAAAGTATTCCTAAATCCAACCAGACTAAACATTATTAGCCTATAAGAGAATAAATCCTATTCCCAGAACTAATCCATTCTCAGGGTTCAAACTGAGGAAAGAATGCACTGACACAAACAAACATAAGACCACCAATTCCAAGAAGGCCCACCCAGCCTTGGTACCACTCCACTGGTCCTGCCCGGCACCTTAGTTCATTTCACCACCTCTCCCCGGTCATCCTTAATTCTTTTCTTCTCATCCCCATGTGCAATCCATTAGCAGGTCTTTTGGGCTTTATCTCTAAAATATGCCTTGAATCTGATCACTTCTCACCACCTCCACCTCAGATATTCTGGTTCAGCACCATCATGGTGCCCCTAAATGGCTGCGGCAGCCTCCCAACTGGCTCTTCTGTTTCCACTCTTGCCCCTCCATATTCTCCATAGAACAGCGTCTTTTACAATATTAATCAGAGCTCCCAATCCCCCATCCCAGCAGTGTGTTGGCACCACATAATTAAAACTCAACCTCCCCACTATGTCCTACAAGTGCTACTCCACCTGCCTCCTTCTCACCAACTCCACCTGCCTCTCTGCACCTTCCAGAAGGCTCTCTACGTCATTCCCTACACCTGAGTCCAAAAGACTTTTCTGTTTCTCTCGGCCACCTCAAGGCAGTAAGATTTGCTGCCAGTCATCTGAACTTCTTCCTACCCTCAGATATTTATGTGGCAGCTTCCTTTTTTTCTTCCTTTGCCTGTGAAATGTCACCTGTTCATAGAGGTCTTTCCTGGCCACTCTATATAAAACAGGCTTCATGCCCACCACCAGTAATTTTATTTTTGTCACAGTGCTAGGGAGTATCTAAAATTTTATACAAAAACAAATTCCATGCTCATGATCCCCAATTCAAACAATTCTTAAATCTACAGGCTATGGATAAGCAGAGGCTGATTATAAAAATAAATTAATAAAAATAAAAATCTACAGGCTAGATTATATAAAATCTAAAAACATAAAACTATATTGATTGTTGGACTGCTTAAGAAACTTAAGAAATTGAGGGGAAAGATGTCACCAAAATGCATTAAAATCAATAATGGAATTAGCAACTGGTAACCTACTTTCTCCAATTTTGCTTCAAGATGTCAATTTTCCAGCTTCCTTTCCTTTTCTATAAACTCCTCAGCTCCTATTCTCAAGAGCACCCAAAGGAAGTGACAAGACTGTAGAGCAGTTGCAGCCATGCCATTCTCAACTGGCAAACCTTTCATGACCTCAGGCTCCTCGTCGGCTCCTTCATGGCTCTCCAGCTCTAGTGTTTGCAGGGATATACTAGGCAATCAATATAACTCTTGCTAATTTTGCTGGGAATTAATTATTTACCATCTCAATATCTAAATCATCTCTCAATTTATTGAACCATGAAGTATTTCATACATAGGCCAGAGCTTATTATGTAAAAATAAATCTCACCCTTAAAAATCCATCTGAGAAGTCTAGAAAAAATCTGTAACACATTGTAAAGTGATAACACAAAAACAAAACAAAACAAAAAACTGGCAATTATTTGAAAGTATTGACTGATTTGGGCATAAAGAAAATGTAACTTTTCTAAAAGAAAACTTCTGAAATTATATAGTAATTGTAAAATCTAAATTTATAAAACATGAATGCTTTAAATTATCATTTTCAATTTCAGTGAGAGCACCAACAGCCGTAAGCATTTTTAAACTACTTTATATAAAAATGTGATTAAATACATTAGAATAAAAAACTGTTACAGAGATCCATTATAAATATTATGTAATAGTGGATTTGTTATAAATTGACGTTAAGGAAAAAGTCAAGTTGAAAATGCTAAAATGAAGAGCTTGATATTGTGGGCCACTGAAACACACACAAAAAAATCAATTGTGGACCAGATTTTTTTTTAAATTAAATTTCTAAGTTAAAGAAAAATTTCAACTTTTATAATTCATAAAAAAGCACGTACAGAAAAAATAAAATAATCTGGCAGTGCATTTTACTATGACGCGAAAATGTGACCATCAGACATGAAGACTGAGAAATGGAAAGAGAAAAGTATGACACAATAGTAAAGAGTGAGAAAAAGACGCAAGCTCCCAAACAAAAGAAAAATGCTTTCCAATCCTCCTTCCCTCCTCTGTCACATATACACACAAACAGAAACAAATACAGAAAACTGGAGTATGACTCTAATCTTCTCACCACTAAAAATGTTTTGTGCTGCATACATATATTTCCAGCCATAGAAATTATCTTTTGATGAGGGTCATAAATTCAAGCAGATAGCCAGGGATTCCCCAGGCCCGTTCTGTATACATGCATATTTCTTCCAGTAGACTCATATTACTTTGATTCATTTATACCACATTAATTTAACTTTTAATTAATAGTAAAAAAAAAATATAAAGCTGAATGCAGTAGTGCAAGCCTACAATTCCAGCTACCTGAAAGGCTGAGGATCACTTGAGCCCAGGAGTTCAAGACCAACCTGGGCAGCAGAGCAAGACCCCATCTCATTTGAAAAAGAAAAAAGAAAGTAGAAACTGGTGATGACAAGAATATAAGTAATATAACACTTAAGGAATATAAGTAGTTCTGATGGAGAACATAAATAAATGCATAAACAAAGAAAGCTACCCACAAATACAATGACTTCTTAACTACATGAATACCTTAAAAAGCTAGAGAATTGGCCAGGCTCAAGCCTGTAATCCCAGCACTTTGGGAGGCCGAGGCAGGCGGATCACAAGGTCAAGAGATTGAGACCATCCTGGCCAACATTGTGAAACCCCGTCTCTACTAAAAACACAAAAATTAGCTGGGTGTGCTGGTATGCACCCATAATCCCAGTTATTTGGGAAGCTGAGTCAGGAGAATTGCATGAACCTGGGAGGCAGAGGCTGCAGTGAGCCGAAATCATGCCACTGAACTCCAGCCTGGCAACAGCGAGACCCCGTTTCAAAAAAAAATAGCTAGAGAATTACCATCAGGCACTGGCATCAGTTCTAAAGGTAATACCTTCTAAATACAGTAAAAACTACTACATATTACAGAAACTAGTTATACGTAATATTTATTTCCTATAAATACAACTAGTTAAATGACTAGTTTATATATAACTGAATATTATATATACAACTAAATGACTAGTTATATAATATATATTTCCTGTAAATACAACTAGTTAAATTTTAAAATTCATTTTGAAATTCAATAATTTTAAATATACTAATTGTTCTTAAATGGAAATTATAAATTATATATGATTATATATTCTATAGTAGTATTTAACGCTCACATAGAATATCTATAATATAGTAGCATATATTCTACTTAAGAGATTAGCAACAAATTATTGTAACACACTGTCAAATAGGACTTCTACTGTTATATAATTAAATACAATCAAATGAGTAATTATTTGAAGTTCTATATAACTCACTACAATACTGGCAAAAAACAATCTTACCGTAGTGCAGAGTAGACGCCCAAAGACAAAAATGAATAATCAGGATCATAGTACAAATATACAGATGATACACAGTTTGGGAGGATGTCAATCACCCCCACAGCAATGATCTTTCCGTCAAGCCAGTACTGCTGGTGAAATGAGCCATAGCCACAATCTGGCCCATTAGGGGGAGTCTCTGCCTAAGAAAAAGCAGAGGCACAAACAGCCATTTTTTAAACATCAAAATAACCTTATAATTAATATACTTTTATTTTCCTCAGGTTAGTAAGTCCTAAACTTTCCTCTTTGTTTCCATCATCATCCCTAGTCACACCCTATGTTAAGCTGCAAAACTTTCTCATCATAGAAATATTGACTAAATACAAAATTCAAAAAAAGAAATCAAATTATGTTTTCTTCAATTTACTTAATACTTGACAGTAGGAAACATAACATTTTACAAGGGAAGAAAATCACTATTAAACTATGTTCTTCCATTTCTATACTACTCAGCCATAAAAAGGAACAAAATAATGGCATTCTCAGCAACCTGGAAGGAGTTGGAGACCATTATTCTAAGTAAAGTAACCCAAGAATGGAAAACCAAATATCATATGTTCTCACTTATAAGAGGGAGCTAAGCCGTGAGGACACAAAAATGTAAGAATGACACAATGAACTCTGGGACTTAAAGGGAAGGGCGGGAGGAGGGTGAGGGATAAAAGACTACACATTGGCCGGGCGCGGTGGCTCACGCCTGTAATCCCAGCACTTTGGGAGGCCGAGGTGGGTGGATCACGAGGTCAAGAGATCGAGACCATCCTGGTCAACATGGTGAAACCCCGTCTCTACTTAAAATACAAAAATTAGCTGGGCATGGTGGCACACACACGAGTAGTCCCAGCTACTCGGGAGGCTGAGGCAGGAGAATTGCCTGAACCCAGGAGGCGGAGGTTGCGGTGAGCCGAGATCGCGCCATTGCACTCCAGTCTGGGTAACAAGAGCGGAACTCCGTCTCAAAAAAAATAAAAAATAAAAAAAATAAAAAAAAAGACTACACATTGAGTATAGTGTACACTGCTTGGGTGATGGGTGCACCAAAATCTCAGAAATCACTACTAAAGAATTTATCCAAACAATACCTGTTCCCCAAAAACCTACTGAAATAAAATAAAAAGAAATAAAAAAAATAAAAACAATGTTCTATTTCACACAAAGATTAGGAAAGAAATGTATGAGAAAAATATGAGGAGCATACAAGAAAAGGGTGGGGTGAGATCCTGCCAGTCAAGCCTGTTCAGTGAGTGCCTCAGCTCTTAGAAGGTACACGATCCCATTATTTTTTCTAGGTTAAGAGTTACTGTGTAAGTACCAAGGACTACGACACTTCTCCTTATTAGCTAAAGGAAAACAAAGTTTTTCTTCATTATTATCTTAATTTAACTATAACTTCACAAGAAAAATCTAGAGGTTTCAGAGTATAACCACCTTCCTGTAAATATAGCTAAATGACATTTCTCATTTTAAAATTCAACATTTTAAATATAACTGGTCTTAAATGAAAACCATATAGAGAAAAGTATCAAGCGGCATAAAACAGGCTTTACTGGAGACTGAATGGATGTTAGAGATTACTAATTCAAGTGAACAAATAAAACACTACTTGTACATCATTTTCACACAGCTAAAATCAGAAAATGTATATGAATAAAAGCTAGAAGAGTATAAAGAAAAATGAGAACAGGTTGAATAACATCAAAACCAAGCAAAAAAAAATCAAGAAAAAAAAATTCACAAATCAGTATCTCTTACAAACACAGATGCAAAAATCCTAAACAAAGTATTAGCAAATCAAATCCAACAATATATAAAAAGACTTATACCATGAACCAGAGAAATTTATTCCAGGTATGCAAGGCTGGCTTGACATCAGAAAAGCATTTTTTAAAAAGGTAATTAATGAACAATTAATGTAATTCACCACATCAATAGGCCAAAAGAAGTATCATATGATCAAATCAATTGATGCAGGAAACATTACTGGCAAAACCCAATACCTATTCATGACTAATCACTCTTAACAAACTAGAACAGAGGAAAGTTTTCTCAACTGGCTAAATAACATATATTCGAAAACCCACAGCTAACATCATACTAGTAAGAAAGAACAAGGTAAGGATATCCTCTCTCATCACTCCTAGAAAACATCATATCGGAAATCTTAGCTTGTGCAATAAGGAAATAAAAGGTATGCAGACTGAGGAGGAGGAAAAGCCTGTCTTTCTTTATAGATAACATGACAGGGTCATTAAAACAAACAAAAATCAGTAACAACAATAAACTGAAATAAGCAGTTACAGCAAGATTTCAGAATACAAGAGTAATATAAAAGTCAGTTGCTTTTCTACATACCAACAATGACTGGAATTTGAAATTAAGAATACAATACCATTTACAATACCACAAAAAATTAAATGCTTAGTTATAAATCAAACAAAATATATACTGAACCTATATGCAAAAAACTACAAAACTGACAAAAGGAATCAAAGATCTAAAAAAACCAGAAAAATAGTATGCGTGCATGGAATAGAAGACAACATTGTCATGACTTCAGTTTTTCCTAAGTTGATATATATATTTAATGCAATCACAATTGAAATCTCAGCAAGCTATTTTGCAGCTATCAAAACATTGATTCTAAAGTTTATGTAGAGACAAAAAAAAAAAAAAAAAAAGACAGACTAGCCAGCCCAATACTGAGGAAGAAAAAAGTTGGATGACTGACACTTCCCAATGTCAACACTTACTATAAATCTATAATAATCAAGATAGAGTGGTATTCGCGAAAGAACAGACATAGGTCAATGAGATAAAATAGACACACACAAAGTCAAATGATCTTTGACAAAGCAGTAAAGGCAATGCAAGAGAGAAAGAATACTCTTTACAATAAATGGTGTTGTAACAACCAGACATCCATATGCAAAAAAAAAAAAAAGAATCCAGACACAGACCTTACACTTTTCACAAAAATTAACTCAAAATGGATCATAAACCTAAATGTAAAATGAGAAACTATAAAACTTCTAGATCATAATATAAAAGAAAATCTAGGTGAACTTAGGTTTGTCAATGAGTTTTTAGATAAAACACCAAAAGCACAACTCACGAAACAAAAAGCTGCTAAGTTGTACTTTATTAAAATTAAAATTTTCTGGTCTGTGAAAAACATTGTTAAAATAAAAATTCAAGTCACAGGCTCGGAGAAAATCTTGTAAAAGACATCTGATAAAGAACTGGTATCCAAAATATACAAAGACTTTTAAAACTCAACAATAAGAACACAAACTACCCAATTAAAAAGTAGGCAAAAGATCAGGTGTGGTGACTCATGCCCATAATCCCAATGCTGTGGGAGGATCCCCTGAGCCCAGGAGTTCAAGGCTGCAGTGAACTAAGATCGTGCCACTGCACTTAAGCCTAGGCAACAGAGCAAGACCCTGTCTATTTTTTTAAATGGAGGAGAAGGGGCAAATGATCTGAACAGAGACTTCACCCAAGATGTACAAAGGCAGATGAACATATGAAAAGATGCTCAACATCACTTACCATTAGGGAATTGCAAATTAAAACAACAATGAGATACCATAAAACTACTACACTAAACAATACATACATACAAATTATTTAGCCCATTGAAGAGAGGGGTATCCTCCAACTCTCTATCCTCTCCTCTACCATCCCCACCCCAACTAGATCTTATGACAGTACCTTAACTTAGTTTTCCAGGCTCAGACATCCATTCCTAGAGAAGCCTCCTTAACTCACTTACCATTCTCTATTTACTGCCTTGAGAATTCTACTTCAAAATGTGGGACTGTTGTATTTCCCTAAGCCTTAGTCAAAAAGGTCACATCTTGGTATGACTAAATAATTTTGACCTTGAGAACCCTCTGAAAGGGCCTCAAGAACCCCTGGAATTACCAGGCCACACTTTTGAGAATCACTGATATGCATCTATTTTGAAAATACAGGTAGAAGAGGAGCCTGCCAACTGTACGCGGCAAATAGAAAGGGGGTAGGTTATAGGATTCAAAGTCAAAAGATCTGGATTTGAGCCTTAACTCCATTGTATACTTTTCTGGCTATTTGAACTAAGTGAGACAGTAATTTAGCTAGTTTTAAGAGTTTCAGCGTCTAGGCGGGGTGTGGTGGCTCACAGCTGTAATCTCAGCACTTTGGGAGGCTGAGGCGGACAGATCACTTCAGTTCAAGAGTTTGAAACCAGCCTGGCAACATGACAAAACCCCGTCTCTACTAAAAATACAAAATATTAGCTAGGTGTGGTAGCACAGGCCTGTACTCCCAGCTACCCTGGATGCTGAGGTGGGAGTATCGCTTGAGCCTGGGAGGCAGAGGCTGCAGTGAGGCGAGATCATGCCACTGCACTCCAGCCTGGGCAACAGAGCAAGACCCTGTTTCAAAACATAAAAAATAAAAGTTTCGATGTCTGCATTTTTAAAACAGAAATCATACTACTGGTCAGTCTCAACTGTCATTAGTTGTGAGAAACAACAGTATGCAAATAAACTTTCCAGATTATAAAATGTTTAGGTCAGTTTTTGCTTTTGGTTTTCAGGGGTCTGAATAGCACATCCTAATAGATCATATCTACAAAATTACATCAGTAGCTAACTTAATAGCAAAGTTATTTAAACAGCGGTTATCTTTAATTTCCTCGTACATAAATCTGTCATGTGATTAGCAATATTTAGTGGTTTACCTTTACCAGTCTGCAGTTTTGCATATTTTGGATATGTGAAAGAATTAATAAAGTAATTTTTCAGAAGTTCCTCAATTTCGAGGATTTAGCTGATAACAAGAAAAAAAAAATAAAGCTCACCTCTACCTATACAAAAGAAAAACCACCTTAAATGTTGGGAGGGAAGGAATGACTTCTGTGATTAATGAGCTATGTGGTACAAGACCAAAGGCACTGTGTAGAAATGACATCAGTATTAATAGGCTAATTCTGGCTTCCGGCCAAACTGCTCCCAAAATGGGTGCATATTTACTCTAATAAAGTATACCTGTCTCTTCACCCACCTGCTTCCATGTACCTAATTTATCCCCAAAACATTGTTAAGGCTCAAAAGAACAGGAGACTGGAGAATCATACACCAGGCATCAGGTCAGT